GAGTGACTCTGCTTGGTTAATCCACGTTGGGGGGTCACTACTTACTTGGTTACTTTCGCAGGGGTGGCTCTGCTTGGTTAATTAGCTTTGGGGGGCCACTTCCTGTTTGGTTACTTATGTAAGCTTTGGCCGAACTGTGTTACTCTAGCCTTAGTTTATAATTTACATATGAATGATGGTTTTGAGAATCTTGTGGTTTGAATTAGAAAAGCCGTTGGATGTCTACGTGACTCATTCGGAGTTTGCAACGACTTGATTATGATTTCATAAAGCATGATTCTATACTCGATGTTTATAGATTGTGATCGATGGTCTATTTTTACTAAATATCACATACTTTTATTACTATCACTCACCCAAGCCTCGGAGTTTATCTAAGTGTCTGATTGGCTGGATGTACCATTTCCATGATGTAGGCATTGATTTTACACGTGACAGATTTGGGTAGATTATGAGAAACCGCTTGATATTTTGGATTCCGTTGAGTGGTCCGAAATTGTATCCTGGTTTGGATTTCGTTGAGTGGTACGAAATCCCTAATCTTACTAATTTCCATAAGTGAGACTAGAACCTTGGATTCGAGTGAATGGGAATTACCCACAATAGACCTTGTGAATATAAATTAGAATTATCAAGTTATTACTCGAAATCCAGGCAAGGAATTATGTTGAATTCCTTTATTAAATGTTAATATCGTGTCTCCTTGATTCATGGAATGGGTTAATTGAGGTGATTGTGGAATGATGTTGAATATGATTATTATTAATACGATTAGATCAATGATCAATGCGACTAGAGGATACTATATGCTTTGTTGATGCTTTGAGATATTACATACTATGAATTGCGATTTTATGTTGAAACATAATGGTTTATATGATGGATGAAATAGAAACCTTGATTGTCATGTGGGTTCGTTATGTAGCTTGAATCGAATAATTCATGCTTGTCAAGTCCAAATGTTTGATTGAGGAATGTTATGCCTTTCGGCTTGAACAGATTGTTATATATGTCAAGTTGAAGGACGAACTACGAATGGCTTGATCCCTGTTGAGGGTACGTAGGCAGTCTAACGACGAGGTTAGATGCAGCAATAAAATATACAGAAATTACTATGCAATTTGAACCTTGAGTGGTGCTTTATTCATATCCCGAAGGCAAGGTATGTTAGATATACGAGTATTTGGTGGCGTCACGTGTTAATCCTGGACGTATGTCGGGAATGAAGTGTGACAGAAGAACTCCAATTGGGAATATTTTTGCTCGTTATTTTGAAGTGATAGTGATGCTTAACATTGATAACATATCAATGGTGCTACCATTGATGAATGGAAGAAAAACAGATATTACAAAAACCTATGATCGAAGAAATGAAGAGATAGAGAGAGAAAGAGAGGAGTTTTTGATCTATAATATCTTTTGTATTTGTTCAGATTGAATTTATACAATGAGCATTACAATCTTATATAGTAGCTAAACAAACTTAGGCCTTAAAGCTAGCTAACATTTACTAACAACTTACCTGAGGTGGCATAACAATCTAGCTGAGATGGCATATGATGTGGCATTATCTTCAACATCACCCTTCAATCTCAACTGGGGTTCCCAAGTTGAAGATTGTAGCAATGACGATTGAATGCTGGATTGTGTAACCCTTTTGTTAATACATTAGTTGTTTGATCTTCAGTGGGAATATACACTACTTCCAAAACTTTCTTTTGTACTATTTCCCTAACAAAATGTTAGTCTGTGTCTAGGTGCTTGATTCGAGAATGAAACACTGGATTTGCACTCAAGGCTGTTACAATGAATGACTAGAGGTGCATACAAGTTAACTATTAAATCTTTCAAAATCTTCCTCACCCATGCAATGTCAGCTACAGTGTGTGCAAAGGCCTTATATTCAGCTTCAGTTGAGCTTCTGGAGATTGAATTTTGTTTCTTTGCTTGCCAAGATATTGGATTGTGTCCCAAGAACACAACATAACCAATCACTGATCTTCTGGTATTAAGATCTGTAGCCCAGTTTGAGTTTGAGAATGCACTAAGACTAAACAAATGTATCTGCAGTATAATTGATTCCAGTGGGAATTGTACCCTTCAAATATCTGATAATTCGCTTCACTGCTCCAAAATGCAATTCTATTGGTGCATTCATGAATTGACAAACCGAATTAACTGCAAAAGCAATGTCTGGTTGTGTGAAAGTTAGGTATTGTAATGATCCAACCTAGCTTCTGTATAGAGATAGATCTACCATTGTAGTTCCTTTTGCACCAAGCAATTGACTATGAGGTTTACAAGGTGTAGCTGCAGGCTTGCATGAATCCATTCCTACCTTGTGAATCAAATCTGTAATGTACTTCGATTGATTGGCAAATATATCACCATTTGCCTTACACTGAATTTGTAAACCTAAGAAATAGGTCAGCTTCCCTATATCTCTCAATTCAAACACCTCAAATAGTTATGTAATAACATTTTGAACCTTGGATGGATTTGATCATGTGAGGATAATGTCATCCACATATGGTAGTAACACAATTGTGTCAATACCATCTTACTTAACAAATAAACTTGTATCAAAAGGAGATGCAATGAAATTCAATGCAACTAAGTAGCTTGTGAACTTGGAATTCCATGCCCTGGGAGCTTGCTTTAAACCATATAGTGACTTTATCAATTTACAAACATGGTTTGGTTTAGCAGGATCAACAAAACCTTAAGGTTGTTTCATATAAAAATTTTCCAGTAAATCACCATGTAAAAATGTATTTTTAATGTTCAATTGCCTTAGATCCCAATGATTCACTGCAGAAACTGCTAAAATTATCCTCACTATTGTGTGTCTTACCACAGGACTGAAAGTATCCAAGTAATCAATTCCATGCTCTTGATAAAAGCCTTGAACTACTAATCTGGCTTTGTACCTTGATACACTTCCATATGGATTTTTCTTAATTTTGTAAACCTATTTACTTCCAACTATTGATCTGTCATGTGGTGGGAATACCAACATCCATGTGCACTGTGCACTGAGGGAATCATATTCTTCTTGCATTGCCAATTGCCACTACGACATACTAACTGCTTTTTGAAATGTTGGTTCTGTAACATCACTGATCTCAGAGATTAATGAACACCCTCTAGTAAATAATTCATCTTCATTTAACTGGAGTGATTGCAATTCAGGAAATGAAGCAATCATAGCTATATAGTTCTTTCTTTCAATAACTCAACTTCTTAGTCTAGTCATAACAGAATGAGAAGAACTATTAGGACAAAAATTAGATTCTGGTTTTGAGTGTATAGGAAGAATTACCTCAAGTTGTGAGGGGGAATGGACATGCACAATTTGATTTATACCTGAGCGATGATGACTTGGAGATTGATGCTAACTTTGAGATACATATTCCATAGCAATTGAAATACTGTCATTAGGCTCACTATGACTTATATTGGTACTAATATCTGTCACTGACTCAATATTAGTCTCTACCCTTGTTTCTTCATTAACCACTTGTCTATCAATACATTCATATCCTTGCCTTTGACCCTATTCACATATTTTAGGTAATTGAATCACAACATGTGATAAAGTTGGCTTAGACACCTCTCTTGTATTACATGAAAATGTACGCTTCTTATTCTTGAAAGGGTAAATGTCCTCATCTTGAATAACATGTCTGGACAATATAAAATTTCTGGACTTCATCTCAAAACATATAACCCCTATGTATCCTTGAGTAAATCCAAGAAAGACACACTGAACTGACCTTGGTTGTAACTTATTCTCATTGAAAGGCCTGAGTAGAGGATAAACTGCAGTGCTAAATATTTTTAAACTGTGAATGTCAGGATCTTGATTAAACAACACCTGATATGGAGATTTCATCCCAAGTACTCCATAATGCATCATGTTTCTAAAAAACACAGCATGTGAACATGCATGGTACCAAAATGACACAGGGACTTATGTTTCAATCATCATTGTCAAAGCTGTTTTTAGTAAGTGTCTATGTTTCATTTCTGCAATACCATTATGCTGTGGCTTATGTGGACATGATAATTGATGAACAATGCCCTTATTCTGTAGAAATTCCTTAAACACTTTACTTACATACTCTCCTCCACCATCAGATTGAAGACACTTAGTAGCTTGATTAAATTGAGTAGTCACAGAAGCATAAAATTTGACAAATATTGGAAATGCATCTGATTTATTTACCATAGGGAAGATTCAAACAAACCTATAATAGTCATCTATAAAGCTGATATAATACCTATAGCCTTCAACTGACATTTGAGGTCATAGATCCCAAACATTAGTGTGAATCTTATCAAACAAAGCTTTGGATCTTTCTGATCTTACATTAAATGGTAATTTGCTCATTTTACCTTGAATACAGGCTATACACAATGAAGAGCATTCATTTACATTAACTGGTAACTGATTATTCTGTAACATAGACTTCAATATTTCTTTAGATGGATGTCCCAATCGTTTGTGCCATATAATAACTTTAACCGTTCTTCCCAAAAACGCAGCACTTCTTCCCAATCTTGCAGCAAATAATTCTGAAAAACACTCACTAGAATATTAAACAGTTCTCCATCATCACTCTTTCCTTGGTACAAAATCAGATGCGTTGCCTTGTCCTATATAAAGAAAATCAAATCATCGTAGATAAACCAACAACCATTGTCTCTACATAACTTCTTTACAAATAACAGATTCATAGTTATCTTTGGCACATGTAATACATTATGTAAAATGAGAGAATTAGAAGATGTTTTAATGACAGATGAACCAATACCTTCACTAATTCCAACAGTGATTTTAGCATCACCAGTATATGGAGTTACTTGACTATATATCTAGATTGGCAGTTATGTGGTGAGTGGCACTTGTGTCAACCACCCAAGTGTCTGCAGCTGAAAAATCATGAACAATTGGATTTAGATTGAAACCTGCAAAGATTACTAGAAGTTGTCCTGGATTAAATATATCTTTCTGCACCAATAAGTTGTGCTCGAAAATCTTTTAATGAAATACTAGAATCCCTTGCCAAGATTACTGTTTTAATGAGTTCAAACTCTGGTGGCAACCTAGATATTGCATCAATTATGAAATCATTAACAGTGATCTTTTCTCCAGCAGAAACAAGTTGATCTCTAATTCCTTTCACCTTCAACAAGTACTTATCCACCGAATCTGTGCCTTTTTGTATAGTGTGAAACTCAGACTTCAATTGATTCACTTGAACAACAAAGACCGATGCAAATCTTTCTTGAAGACAAACCCAAGCCTCCTGAGATGTTTTACAACCAACAATGTGATCCATCGCCTCATCAGAGAGTGTAGCAATTAGCAAGCTCAACAATGCCAAATCTTTCTTCTCCCATTCTTTGTATTCAACTGTTATTTCCTTTGTAACCCCAGTTTCTGTGCTCATAGAATACTCTGGTGGACATTGAGACTCACCAGTAAAGAACTCAAAAAGATCATAACCTCGTAACACAAATTGAAACTGATAGCTCCACTTTGTAAAATTGGCATCTTGAAGCTTCACAGTTATCATTCCTAAAAGACCTTCAATCTTGACTGAGTTTGCTGCCATTATATCCAATTTTGAAATTTTTTCTCACCAAGATTCCTTAATTCTTCTTCAAATTAACAACTTTTTAGATAGAATTCACAACCAAATAACAACTAAGACAACTTGTATCAATCTTGAAGATAATGCTTTTCACCTTTTGGCATTGGCCTTCAACAAGTGTAAAACAAGAAACACAATTATATCAATCCAATCACACTTTGGCATTGGCCTTTAACAAGTGGATAGAAAAAAACTACTTCACAATTCTATCAATTTTGCCAATAACGGCTTCGACCTTGTATTGATCAATCACATAGAAAACTGGCATTTACACAAACACATACAGTGCAATAACTTCAAACATACCCTAAAATCGCCATGAATCTTTAATCGTAGACCCCATATAGCACATTGCAGACTCCATATCCGTATCAGAAAACCCTGATCCCATAGAACACTTCGCAAGAAACATCAGCAGAAGAAACCATCAAAGATCATCCATTCGAACTACCTTCAGTACTTGCAAGAAACACCAACGGAAGAAATCACCAACGATCGTCCTGGGTGATGGATACCATGATAACATATCAATGGTTCTGCCATTGATGAATGCAAGAAAAACAGATATTGCAGAAACCTATGATTGAAGAAATGAAGAGAGAGAGGAGGAATTTTCGATCTCTAATATCTTTTGTATTTGTTTAGAATGAATTGATACAATGAACATTACAATCTTATATAGTAGCTAAACAAACTTAGGCCTTAAGCTAGCTAGCAATTACTAACTACCTAGCTAACAACCTATTTGAGGTGGCATAACAAACTAGTTGAGATGGTATGATGTGGCATTATCTTCAACAAACACTTTATTTATCACTATTAAATGAATTTAAATTTCTAGATATGTCTAGTAATAGACATAAATCTCAAAATTTAAATACGTATGGTAGTGAGCCACCACTTGAAGGTGGTGAGACCCTAACCATAACACATGAAATTCTCTATCTTTGAAGGGTAATTCTAGGGAGATCAAAATTTAAACCAAATTTGTTAACCAAATTATGTGTTACCAATAAGAAATAAACACTTAAATAATAATCCAATCATCAACAACCACATTCACAAAATTTGAATTACCCATCTTTGGATTCTAATGTGTTTCGAAACAGTGGAATTCTATCATCTCGACCCACAGTTCACAAAATTTGACTTCAAAATAGCATCCGAGCAGGGAACCCTCAGTCAAAGGCACCTCGTCTCCGTCGCCTCTCAACTCCATTCCCTTGACACCGTTCTGAGATGATTCTTCGGCAAGAAATATTACTTTTTGAACCGTGCCCTCCAAGCATCTTAAGTTTACTTACCTACTGGGCTCCATCAATGATTTCGTATTTGTATCTGTTAATGGTTACTGTGACTTGTATCTCTGGAGCCCATCAACAATATCTGTACGCAAAATACCGAACTCCAGTTTTATGGAAAGATAAAAAAACTCTACGAATGCAAGTTCCAATTTCGGGTTTGGATTATGTGTCAGCTATACTGATGACTACAGCTTTTATTAGTAGCTAATCTTACTAGGAATTTTGAGACTGGTTTGTATATGGAGATGTTCTCATTGAGAGCGAACTCTTGGATAGGATTTCATGTCCCTGACCAAGAGAGTGATGAATATAGCTTTGTAGATCTCGTCAGTCTTTTCGAATTCATATACAACGAGTCCAAAACATGCATGCCAAATCACAGTTGCCTCAATCCGGACATCACAAAAAAGTCAAAAAATTTACTTTCGAGATATGACTACAGCAAATAATCTTTTAATCCTTAAATTGCCAATACTCCAATCACTCTTCTTCATTAAATGTCGCTTCCTCCGTTTAGTTTATTGCATGTAAAATAACTAAATTTCTGTCCTACATAAGAGGGTTCAAGTTCTTTAAGGAGAATGCTTATGTGTATCGTTTTGTAGGAGAGAATGAATGGAATTTTGGGTCATGAAAGAGTATGAGGTGCGTGAATCTTTTTTTTGTTAAACAATAGATTTGTTAGGTTAGATGTTAGATTAGTCACCGATGGAGTTTGAACCCATCCCGTCATGCAAGGGCTCGACTCCTTTCCACCATTGTGATAAAAGGTCCACTCGCAGGTGTGTGAATCTTGGACTATTTGCTGGCGTACATGTGCTGACCCATCGGAAATGGAATTTATACGGTGATAAACCCATCTTCATTACTGAAAACGTATTTGTCATAAGCGGATTTCAAAAGGAAATTGATCAGGTTGAATGTGTTAAAAAAGAGAAGCCTGTTTGCAGTCGCTCCTATAGCCTGAATGAGGTGCCGTTAAGTATATTATCTCTGACGCGGTTTGAATTCATCACCCTATGTGTTAGTGTATTTTTGTAAGGAGTTTAGTTTCATTTGTTTCTAACTACCTTGCTTTATGTAGATTTGGTTGTCTTTCTATTCCTGCAATTCTGTTATGAAGACTTCAATTATCCCAATCCTATTTCTTAATTCTACATCCACATCTTTGATCCGATCGAAATAGGATTTGGTTTGTTTATATTTATTTCAATGGTTAGTAATTTTAATTTCACCAGGTGGTTTGCTACTCCCCCGTTTTGGGTGGGGCATACCTTATTAACCTGAGAGCTTAAGGCGTGCTTAATTTGACCTAGAGGTGACAATGAATCAGTTATCCATCGCATAACCAATTACTTTAATGTCTTGTTTAGTTACAAGTCGACGCTACTAGAAGTATTTCAGTATATTTTGCTGCAACAGATAACTTGGATTCCAGATGTTTAGAAAATCTGCGCTACATATTTAGACCTAGATAGCGCACCTAGCATAAGGTTGCTTGTAAACATTTGGTAGTTCAGGGATTTTGGAGCTTGGATCAAGAATGCTTTAAGACACAAGAAATTCAAAATGGGATCGCATTTCAGCAACTCATCTTTCTTGTCGCCAATAGCTAAGGAGGTGTCGTATGGTGGCTTTTACAGAATCACCTTGTAGAGTTCCAGTAGCAATACCCGAAAATATTGAATCTCATTTTCCACTTGGGTATATAGCTTCGAGAGTTGTAACCCAAGTTCATATTGACAGTATCTTACAGAATTTCATTTGTGGGCAGTGAGTCAAATCTTCATGGTGTTAGATTTGAAGAGTGTTCTTTTAGTTCTTTAGTGCATTTTTTATAAGACCGTTTTATTATTGCCGTTCCTTCTGTTATAAATCGAACAACTGAATTGCTAGCTGACAGTAAAACTAATGTATAACAAATGGCCAAATGGATTGGATGAAATAGACCTAAGCAATACAAAAGGACGCAGTAGTAATTTACAAATTAGGCGTCCGAGTTCCGTTTTGGGCCCATGATACATTATCGAAAAAAGTGTGGTGCCCAGTTTAAACTCACTGGTTTGCTATGATATATGATGAATTTTAGCTCCGTTTCGGCTTCCAAAACTACATTTTAAATTTTGTAATAAAAATTGGATCTTTCTATTTAAGTCCGATTAATCTTATTCTTATTCCCAAAACCCTTGAGCCTTTCTGAGGTTGTTTTTAAGTCTATTTATGCCATTTGGCTCCCAATGTAATGCATCACTTCAGAAATAATCAAGACAACCTCTCGATTTATCCCAATCTCTAGTGGATTCCACAAACCTTTATTCTTGAAGATTTACATTTGTAGTCCTTCTATGCTCGTGCTGCATCAAAGACTGTTTGGCTGATTCGAAATAAAATGGAAGCCACATATAGAATTGTGTTATTTGGGGGTTTCCTCTGCTTGTTTTCAAGGGGTGTTGGTGTAAAAATTAGGAAAAGTGATTTCTACACACATCTTTTCTCACCTTACATATGCCCTTGTATTTCTAATCTTGGGAAAATAATTCCGCACGCGCATTTCTCCTTCTGCAATCCTTGTTTATATATGGTCCCTTGATTCTCCTATAATTTTTTTTTTGGTTGAAAAACGGGGCTAAAAGCAAAAGCCCAAACAAACATACTCAATAATAAATCTAGACCTGGACATCCCAAGTTGATTCTCACAGATGAAACTAATTGAACAATAAAGAGGAGTATCAAAATAAAAATGATCTAAATCTAAATCAAGACTATAGGTCGTTAAACTGTCTGCCACAAAGTTCTTTTCTCTATAGACACATCTTTTCTCACCTTACATATGCCCTTGTATTTCTAAAGATACTCTGTTCTTGTGTCTTATGTATAGAGTTTCAACTAACTTTAGGAACGTTAAGTTCTCATAAAAAGTTGTAGAAAATGGCAGATGAGCAAAACCAGATTATGGGAATGTGTACTTAAACTTTAACAGGGGTGGTGTACTTAAACTTTAACAGGGGTGGTGTACTTAAACTTTAACAGGGGTGTTACAGTTTTACACTGCAATCTGTTTGAAATAACTCGAGTTACTATCCTTTTGGATCCAACTAATATAGCTAAATTACTTCATACTCATTAGTTTCATAAACAAAAAAATTGGATCCAAGATGGATACCAAACAACCGTTCCTTCAGTTATTCTGAGATAGCCGTGGAGCTTGGCTTAGATTCCTGAGGGCTTTGTCATAGGATATGAACCCCATGAACCAGAATTCATGACCATCCCTTGTGACAATCTGTATATATTTTTCTGAAGGGTTCCATCTGTTTGCTGAAGGATTTACTGTTCTTAACTGATCAAGTGGCACCACCACCTACGTGAGATTAACTAACTTGTTAAACGAATGAAAAACTTAAGAATTCGAATTTTATGTCCACTAGAATATCTACCTTGTAATGCATGAGAGTTGGATTTCCTGGGCACAAATAGTAAGAGAAATCGCTGCAGAAGGCTATTCGTTTATCGGAGATGTACATCATCCCAATCACAGGTCCATGAGAAGTTGATAGATGGCAAGCATATGAATGTAAGAGCTTTTCTCCTGTCACTCTTTCAAATGTCTGCTGAAACACTTTTTCTTCTCCTCCGGCAGTAAGCACCTTTGTTCCG